ATAAAAACAAACACAACTCACAAACAGTTAAGAAATAAGCAGCAGATTTAAAAGAATGGAATCTAGAAATATGTTAGATCTAAAAAGAATTGCACAGCTTTAGCACTAATCTTTGGGTTTCAAAAACATACTAATTCAAAACTTCTTTTTACTAAATGGTGTTTAAAAACGTTTAACTGTGTCATAACACAATGTTCAATGGCAAATTTCGCAAATTTAACGGAAAAACAACTATGAAAAGCCAAAATCCTAAAAGCAGTAGCTCCCCTTTAAATCAGAGCAGCAGCTCAGCAGCAGGAGGGCGGGGGGGGGGGGGGGTTCCTTTCACACAGACGCTCACACACAGGCAGAAAGTAGTGTTTTAGCAAAAATGCAAAAACAGAAAGAAGAAGAACTTTCAAGATTACTTTTTTAAGCAAATATAACTGATGTTGTAGTTTATACTTTTGTCATCCAAGTCTAGAAATGGCCAATTTCCACACTTGTAACAAAAGGCACTCTTAGTGTTTAATTTCCCTTACGCTTCTATTTTATCGAGGTAGCAAACTAGTTTAAACTCAAAATCTCTTTCTAAAAAACAAAAACAACTGTTGGATACACAACCCTCTCATAGCTTAACTGTAGATAAAACTCGGCATTCTCCGGTGAACTCTGTTCACGCCAATAAACAAACTAAAAAACAAAAAACTCCCTTTTTCTCTCTGTAATTTAAACCGTGATCACTGAAAATATTGTTGCTTCTTTACTTTTGTCATTTATCAGCCTGAAATTCGTCAATTTCAAAGCTTTTGTAACAAAGGCCTCTTTTTCACATTTCCCTTTTTATTAAATTGCTTTTACTTTTATACCATGGTTTTACTAAGGATCCTACACTTTATCTTTTTTCAAAGGGACTCTAACCCCGAAAACGTTTTCTCAAAGGGACTCTAACCCTGAAGCTTTTTTCAAATACAATTTAGAGAGTTTGACAGACCCCAAAAACAGACCAAAATTTAGCTAATATCCAATTATACAGACTTTACATATAAAAAGGTGTCTGCTTACCTTATTCTTGTCAAACCGGTACCAAGGACTGTCCGAGAGGTCTGCCAACCTCTTTTCCGCGTCGGAATATTCAATCTAAAAAACAAAAGTGACAGAAGCGACAAGAAGCATCCAGGAACAGCTCTTCCAGCCTGCTGGAATCTCCGCTCCCAGACGCAGCATGCCGATCTCTCACGCCGAAAAAGAAAGATAACATGAACACACAGGACTTATTTGGTTAATGGTTAACTTTTATCGCTGCTGCCTGTTTTATCTGAAAACAGGGCAGAAGCCACCGCTTGGACTTCGCATGGTTGGAATGCTATGTTTATTTGCGTTATTAAACCTTCATCCACTTTTACAGTGGCAAATAATTGTGTTCTCCTTTTTATTGTATGTTAAATGAATAGTTTCTTCAACCAATAATGATTCTGAACTTGAAAAATTTACAAATATTATACAAAGGAATAAGTATACAAACATTTTTTACTACTTAAACCTACTATTCTGACCACTTTTTATGTACACACATATAAATGTAATTATTGAATTTCTTACGCTAATTACTTTGACTACTTATCAAAAATAACCAGTTCTTTGAATTAACACGTTTTTTGTTTCTTCTGACGCTGAAAAAATCTCTAAAAACAGCGCATACTACAATAGTTTTTAAATTCTCTTCTGCCGAAAAAACCTCAAAAAAACGGCTTCTATCGCCCTTTTACATTCTTTTCACGCCGAAAAAGCCTTAGAAAACGGCGGTGATCGGTTTATAAAAAAATGCGCATATATATTTACAATATGAACAGGAACATAAAAGAGCCAGCAGCCAACCACATTGAAACTTTTTGATGTAAGACCAATTTAACAGATTTTTTGAAGAGGCATCTGTAATTTCCTTTTTGTGTAGATCTACTTGTACCTTTGTTGGTGGAGCTGTATCTTTTATGGAGACTTCTGCAAAGCCAGAGAAGATGAAGCGCTGTCCTGGAGCAAAAAATGTGGTTGAAAAAATAAAAATAATAAAAATAGTCTTTGTCTTGGGCTTTTTGTATCACCAAATTGTGAAAGATCCCAGACGTAAGACCAAAAAGAGACTTCGACAAAACTGCGTATTTCAAAATAAAGTTTTTATTGTCAGAAGGTTTGAGCGTATTCTGATCAAGTACAACGCAGCTTCCCGTCATCCTAGTCTGGCTGCAGAAGTCTGCTGTACAGGCAACGGGTGGCTGTTTATATACACTGTAAATGATTAGGTAAGCATTAGACTTTGGAAGCATGACTATGCAGAAGTAAGCGTATGGTTTCAATGTTCAGTTGAGTTGGCCAGAGATGTCTATGATCTAAGCATGTTTGCGTAATGGACCAAACTCCAATGTACATGAGATAGTATTATCTCATGTTATGTACATCAACACTTTATCTGTTCCATGCTTTTGTAAGCAGTTTAAAGTACAGTGTACGCCTTTTAAACTCTTATTGAACTGTTTAACATGATACTTTAACAGCAAACAGTAATTAAATATTCACAGCTGTCTCGACTGATGAAGCAATGCGAAGCTGCAGCGGCTAACAATGCTAGTTAGCAGGGCTGCAACAGGCTACCTCCACAGCCGTGCAAAGCATTCTTCCAAGCCTCCAAATGTCACAACATTGACGGCAACAAGTGGAGTCACCATTGAGAACGAGATGTGAATCTCCAAAAAATGAAAGTGCTTTTAAAATATATATATATTGTTAGTGCCTTGAGGAGCTCCGGGAAACACGTCTTCACCCCATGGTGTCCAACAGCGCCCCCCCTCCACATGTATATTGAAGTCTCCAGTTATAACTATGTTTTCCCATTCCAAAACTAGGTTTGAAATGAAGTCAGAGAATTCTGTTAGGAACTCGCTGTAAGGACCAGGAGGTCGGTATAAAACTATAAATAGCACCGCTTTTTGTTTTCTCCACCCAGGACAGGTGATTGAAAGTGTTAAGTTTTCAAACAAACGAAAGGCATTGTTGGTTCTGGGACTAAGAACCAAGTTGGTGTGTGATATAATCGCAGCACCACCCCCGAGACCTGTAGTTCTGGCTTTCTGGTAGTTAACATGCGTCGGAGGAGTGCACTCATTCAATCTAACGTAGTCGTCCTGTTGGAGCCAAGTCTCCGAGAGCGCAAACAAATCCAAGTTTTTGTCTATAATAATGAGAGTTTATGAGAAGCGATTTAGACGAGATTGATCTGACGTTCATTAAACCACATTTAACAACCCTACTGTTAGAACTATTTCTGTCTATCTGAACTTTCATTAGGTTTGTGTGTCTGACACCCAGGTCACTTTAGACTTCAAGCGAGGAACACACACAGTTTCAATCTGACTAGCTTCTGAGGCTAGTAACTGAACAGATGGGGGCTCAGAGGTTGTGGCAGAGCAGCTCTGCACCCGGGCCTCAGTTCTGCACCGTCATTTGAGCCGGGCAGAACAGTTTAGAGCCAGGGCCAAATTCTTAGCCAAAAGGGATGTACCCGCCAACGTTGGGTGGATATCATCCGAGCGGATGAGACCGGGCTTTCCCCAAAAGGCACTCCAATTGTCAACATGAACAACACCACTTCGAGGGCACCAGCCAGACAGCCAGCGGTTGAAAGCCGAGTGTCTGCTGAATGCTTCTGCACTGCTAGTGCTAGGTAGGGGCCCAGAGAAGATGACAGTGTCGGCCATTGTGCTAGCCAGCTTGCACACGGCGGCGACTTGCAGCTTCAACACCTCGGACTGTTTCCGCCGAACGTCATTACCACCCGCGTGAATAACAATTCGACGGAAACGCTGCTTGTGGGTCATCATGAGCCTCAGATTCCCTTCAATATCACCAAGCCTGGCCCCAGGGAAGCACCGAACAGTGGCTCCTGGGATCTTAACACCTCTAATGGTGCGTTCAGACCAAACGCGATTTCTGCGGCCAAATCGCGTCTATCGCGCGGCTTGGGCCGCTTGTGACAAATTGTGGCAGCCGCTGTCACAGAGAAACTTGGCCGCGCGGCCAGGACACTAGAGGGCAGCCGCTGTCACAGAGCGTTGAGATCGTTTAGGGGCGGGGCTTGTCTCTTTTGCCTGTAGCTTCCCAACATGGATGTCAGCGAAGGAGTTGCTTTATCTGATAAATAAAGCCAGAGAACGTCGTCAAAGGGTGAATCGACGACGTGTCTGGATTCATCAGATAGTCCGTAGACGGTTGGAGTTTGGTGAGTTTCACCATTTGCCCCGGGAGCTGTGCTCGGATGAGGGTCGCTTTCAGCGGTACTTTCGTCTCTCCCTGGCCCAGTTTGACGACCTACTGACCGGCATTGGCGCTAGGATCTCCTACCAGGACACCAACTACAGGCGCTCTATTCCAGCTGAATTCAGAATTCCTAAATACTTACAAAGTGTGTAATTTTTCAATCACAATCCACAATGTAATAGCTCAGAAAACAGTATTATGCAACAATATGGTGTCTATGATTACTGTCTATGATGTTTACTACTAGTTTAACGTATTTTATGCTACACAAGTTTTGTCACGTGATTTTTATGAATGTAATTGTGATAAATATGTTCATATCATTTTGTAATTGCAGGTTTCTTGCCACTGGGGACTCCTACAGGACCATTGCGGGGAGCTTCAGAGTGGGCATATCCACCGTCTCCATGCTCATCCCAGATGTGGTGGCAGCCATCTGGGACTGCCTCGTGGAGGAGTTCATAGCTGTGCCTGGAGCAGAGGAGTGGAGGTCCATAGCGCAGGACTTTGAGGTCCGATGGAACTTCCCTCTGTGCTGTGGGGCCATTGATGGGAAGCATGTGGCTGTGAAGGCACCCCCCAACTCTGGGTCCATGTTTTTTAATTACAAGGGGCACCATTCCCTTGTGCTCCTGGCTGTAGTGGATGCCCAGTACAGGTTCAGGGTGATTGATTTGGGAGGGTACGGCAGATCCAGCGATGGAGGCATCATGGCCAACTCTGCCTTTGGTGAGGCTCTGCGCGAGGGCACACTCGACCTGCCTCCTGACCAGTGCATACCTGGAGCTGACCACAGAGGACCCCAGCCCCATGTGTTCGTGGCAGATGAGGCCTTTCCACTGCGCCGCGATTTAATGCGCCCTGCCCATCTCCAGCCATGAGGACGGCTGGAGATGGGCAGGTTCCTGCACCGAGGGGAGCTGCTGCCGGTGAAGAACCACTTCCAGGCGTGCAGCGGATGGCCGCCTGGAAGCCAGCAGTGGACATAAGGAAAGTGTTCATGGCCCACTTCAGTGAGGAGGGAGCACTGCCGTGGCAGCCCACAGAGTAGTCATGTCCACCACAAGACTGACCCACAACGGCTCTTTTCAGAGCCACCCACAAAATACAAAGAGCCTAACTTCATTCCTGACATATAATGTGCTGACCTTCTGTTTCTAGGTAATGACTGCCAGACTCCACTGCGACTCCACTCCAACTTCAGGTTCATCATTTGCACATTCAAGCTTGTCGAGACAGCAGCCGCCATAGGAGTAGTGCCTCCCCCTCTTGCCTCCTTCTCTTGCATCCCCCTCCTGCCTCCCCCTCTTGCCTCCCTCTCTTGCCTCCCCCTCCTGCCTCCCCCTCTTGCCTCCCACTCCTGCCTGAAGGACCCCTGCATGTCTCCCTGAGCCTCAGTCCTTCACAGATAACACTATTATCATGATTAATAGTTTTAATATCATTATTATTAATGATAATACTATCATTATTATTGACGATAATAATATAATTATTATTAATGATAATAATATTAATCATGAATAGCGTCAGTACTAACTCAAGTGTAAAATGTAAAAAGACCATGTTTTTGGGAAGAATCACTTTATAAAGATTTAATCTGTTTTCAATCTGAACAAACCTGACTCTGTCTGACACACACAGACACACACACAGACAGACACACACACACAAACACACACAGACAGACGCACACACGGACATACACACAAAGACACACACACACTCCAACTAAAGCCTGCTCCTCTACTCCTCCTGCTCCTCTCTACTCCTCCTGCTCCTCTCTACTCCTCCTGCTCCTCTCTCTACTCCTCCTGCTCCTCTCTGCTCCTCCTGCTCCTCTCTCTACTCCTCCTGCTCCTCTCTACTCCTCCTGCTCCTCTCTACTCCTCCTGCTCCTCTCTCTACTCCTCCTGCTCCTCTCTCTACTCCTCCTGCTCCTCTCTCTACTCCTGCTCCTCTCTACTCCTCCTGCTCCTCTCTACTCCACCTGCTCCTCTCTCTACTCCTCCTGCTCCTCTCTCTACTCCTCCTGCTCTTCTCTACTCCTCCTGCTCCTCTCTCTACTCCTCCTGCTCCTCTCTACTCCTCCTGCTCCTCTCTCTACTCCTGCTCCTCTCTACTCCTCCTGCTCCTCTCTCTACTCCTGCTCCTCTCTACTCCTCCTGCTCCTCTCTCTACTCCTGCTCCTCTCTACTCCTCCTGCTCCTTTCTCTACTCCTCCTGCTCCTGTCTACTCCTCCTACTCCTCTCTCTACTCTTCCTGCTCCTCTCTACTCCTCCTGCTCCTCTCTACTCCTCCAGCTCCTCTCTGTACTCCTCCTGCTCCTCTCACTACTCCTCCTGCTCCTCTCTACTCCTCCTGCTCCTCTCTCTACTGCTCCTGTCTACTCCTCCTGCTCCTCTCTACTCCTCCTGCTCCTCTATCTACTGCTCCTCTCTACTCCTCCTGCTTCTCTCTACTCCTCCTGCTCCTGTCTACTCCTCCTGCTCCTCTCTCTACTCCTCCTGCTCCTCTCTACTCCTCCTGCTCCTCTCTACTCCTCCTGCTCCTCTCTACTCCTCCTGCTCCTGTCTACTCCTCCTGCTCCTGTCAACTCCTCCTGCTCCTCTCTCTACTCCTCCTGCTCCTCTCTACTCCTCCTGCTCCTCTCTCTACTCCACCTGCTCCTCTCTCTACTCCTCCTGCTCCTCTCTCTACTCCTCCTGCTCCTCTCTACTCCTCCTGCTCCTCTCTACTCCTCCTGATCCTCTCTCTACTCCTCCTGCTCCTCTCTCTACTCCTGCTCCTCTCTCTACTCCTGCTCCTCTCTACTCCTCCTGCTCCTCTCTCTACTCCTGCTCCTCTCTCTACTCCTGCTCCTCTCTACTCCTCCTGCTCCTCTCTACTCCTCCTGCTCCTCTCTCTACTCCTGCTCCTCTCTACTCCTCCTGCTCCTCTCTACTCCTCCTGCTCCTCTCTCTACTCCTGCTCCTCTCTACTCCTCCTGCTCCTCTCTACTCCTCCTGCTCCTCTCTCTACTCCTGCTCCTCTCTACTCCTCCTGCTCCTCTCTCTACTCCTGCTCCTCTCTACTCCTCCTGCTCCTCTCTACTCCTCCTGCTCCTTTCTACTCCTCCTGCTCCTTTCTCTACTCCTCCTGCTCCTGTCTACTCCTCCTGCTCCTCTCTCTACTCTTCCTGCTCCTGTCTACTCCTCCTGCTCCTCTCTATTCCTCCTGCTCCTCTCTCTGCTCCTCTCTACTCCTCCTGCTCCTGTCTACTCCTCCTGCTCCTCTCTACTCCTCCTGCTCCTCTCTCTACTCCTCCTGCTTCTCTCTACTCCTCCTGCTCCTCTCTCTACTCCTCCTGCTTCTCTCTACTCCTCCTGCTCCTGACTCTACTCCTGCTCCTCTCCACTCCTCCTGCTCCTCTCTACTCCTCCTGCTCCTCTCTCTACTCCTGCTCCTCTCTACTCCTCCTGCTCCTTTCTCTACTCCTCCTGCTCCTGTCTACTCCTCCTGCTCCTCTCTCTACTCTTCCTGCTGCTGTCTACTCCTCCTGCTCCTCTCTACTCCTCCTGCTCCTCTCTGTACTCCTCCTGCTCCTCTCACTACTCCTCCTGCTCCTCTCTACTCCTCCTGCTCCTCTCTCTACTGCTCCTGTCTACTCCTCCTGCTCCTCTCTACTCCTCCTGCTCCTCTCTCTACTCCTCCTGCTCCTTTCTACTCCTCCTGCTCCTCTCTCTGCTCCTCTCTACTCCTCCTGCTCCTGTCTACTCCTCCTGCTCCTCTCTACTCCTCCTGCTCCTCTCTACTCCTCCTGCTCCTCTCTCTACTCCTCCTGCTCCTCTCTCTACTCCTCCTGCTCCTCTCTCTACTCCTCCTGCTTCTCTCTACTCCTCCTGCTCCTCTCTACTACTCCTGCTCCTCTCTACTCCTCCTGCTCCTCTCTACTCCTCCTGCTCCTCTCTACTCCTCCTTCTCCTGTCTACTCCTCCTGCTCCTGTCAACTCCTCCTGCTCCTCTCTCTACTCCTCCTGCTCCTCTCTACTCCTCCTGCTCCTCTCTACTCCTCCTGCTCCTCTCTACTCCTCCTGCTCCTCTCTACTCCACCTGCTCCTCTCTACTCCTGCTCCTCTCTCTCTACTCCTCCTGCTCCTCTCTACTCCTCCTGCTCCTCTCTCTACTCCACCTGCTCCTTTCTCTACTCCTCCTGCTCCTCTCTCTACTCCTGCTCCTTTCTCTACTCCTCCTGCTCCTCTCTACTCCTCCTGCTTCTCTCTACTCCTCCTGCTCCTGTCTACTCCTCCTGCTCCTCTCTACTCCTCCTGCTCCTCTCTCTACTCCTCCTGCTCCTCTCTGCTCCTCCTGCTCCTCTCTCTACTCCTCCTGCTCCTCTCTACTCCTCCTGCTCCTCTCTACTCCGCCTGCTCCTCTCTACTCCTCCTGCTCCTCTCTACTCCTCCTGCTCCTCTCTACTCCTCCTGCTCCTCTCTCTACTCCTGTTCCTCTCTACTCCTCCTGCTCCTCTCTACTCCTCCTGCTCCTCTCTCTACTCCTGCTCCTCTCTCTACTCCTGCTCCTCTCTACTCCTCCTGCTCCTCTCTCTACTCCTGCTCCTCTCTACTCCTCCTGCTCCTCTCTCTACTCTTGCTCCTCTCTACTCCTCCTGCTCCTCTCTACTCCTCCTGCTCCTCTCTCTACTCCTGCTCCTCTCTACTCCTCCTGCTCCTGTCAACTCCTCCTGCTCCTGTCAACTCCTCCTGCTCCTCTCTCTACTCCTCCTGCTCCTCTCTCTACTCCTCCTGCTCCTCTCTCTACTCCTGCTCCTCTCTACTCCTGCTCCTCTCTACTCCATCTGCTCCTCTCTCTACTCCTCCTGCTCCTCTCTACTCCTCCTGCTCCTCTCTCTACTCCTCCTGCTCCTCTCTCTACTCCTCCTGCTCCTCTCTACTCCTCCTGCTCCTCTCTCTACTCCTGCTCCTCTGTCTACCCCTGCTCCTCTCTACTCCTCCTGCTCCTCTCTCTACTCCTGCTCCTCTCTACTCCTCCTGCTCCTCTCTCTACTCCTGCTCCTCTCTACTCCTCCTGCTCCTCTCTCTACTCCTGCTCCTCTCTACTCCTCCTGCTCCTCTCTACTCCTCCTGCTCCTCTCTACTCCTCCTGCTCCTCTCTCTACTCCTGCTCCTCTCTACTCCTCCTGCTCCTCTCTCTACTCCTGCTCCTCTCTACTCCTCCTGCTCCTCTCTACTCTTCCTGCTCCTCCCTCTACTCCTGCTCCTCTCTACTCCTCCTGCTCCTCTCTACTCCTCCTGCTCCTTTCTACTCCTCCTGCTCCTTTCTCTACTCCTCCTGCTCCTCTCTCTACTCTTCCTGCTCCTGTCTACTCCTCCTGCTCCTCTCTACTCCTCCTGCTCCTCTCTCTACTGCTCCTGTCTACTCCTCCTGCTCCTCTCTCTGCTCCTCTCTACTCCTCCTGCTCCTGTCTACTCCTCCTGCTCCTCTCTACTCCTCCTGCTCCTCTCTCTACTCCTCCTGCTCCTCTCTACTCTTCCTGCTCCTCTCTACTCCTCCTGCTCCTCTCTACTCCTCCTTCTCCTGTCTACTCCTCCTGCTCCTGTCAACTCCTCCTGCTCCTCTCTACTCTTCCTGCTCCTCTCTACTCCTCCTGCTCCTCTCTACTCCTCCTTCTCCTGTCTACTCCTCCTGCTCCTGTCAACTCCTCCTGCTCCTCTCTCTACTCCTCCTGCTCCTGTCTACTCCTCCTGCTCCTCTCTACTCCTCCTGCTCCTCTCTCTACTCCTCCTGCTCCTCTCTACTCCTCCTGCTCCTCTCTCTACTCCTGCTCCTCTCTACTCCTCCTGCTCCTCTCTCTACTCCACCTGCTCCTCTCTCTACTCCTCCTGCTCCTCTATCTACTCCTCCTGCTCCTCTCTACTCCTCCTGCTCCTCTCTCTACTCCTCCTGCTCCTCTCTACTCCTCTCTCTACTCCTCCTGCTCCTCTCTCTACTCCTCCTGCTCCTCTCTACTCCTCCTGCTCCTCTCTCTACTCCTGCTCGTCTCTACTCCTCCTGCTCCTCTCTCTACTCCTGCTCCTCTCTACTCCTCCTGCTCCTCTCTCTACTCCTCCTGCTCCTCTCTACTCCTCCTGCTCCTCTCTCTACTCCTGCTCCTCTCTACTCCTCTTGCTCCTCTCTCTACTCCTGCTCCTCTCTACTCCTCCTGCTCCTCTCTACTCCTCCTGCTCCTCTCTCTACTCCTGCTCCTCTCTCTACTCCTGCTCCTCTCTACTCCTCCTGCTCCTCTCTCTACTCCTGCTCCTCTGTACTCCTCCTACTCCTCTCTCTACTCCTGCTCCTCTCTACTCCTCCTGCTCCTCTCTCTACTCCTGTTCCTCTCTACTCCTCCTGCTCCTTTCTACTCCTCCTGCTCCTTTTTCTACTCCTCCTGCTCCTGTCTACTCCTCCTGCTCCTCTCTCTACTCTTCCTGCTCCTGTCTACTCCTCCTGCTCCTCTCTACTCCTTTCTGTACTCCTCCTGCTCCTCTCACTACTCCTCCTGCTCCTCTCTACTCCTCCTGATCCTCTCTCTACTGCTCCTGTCTACTCCTCCTGCTCCTCTCTACTCCTCCTGCTCCTCTCTACTCCTCCTGTTCCTCTCTCTACTCCTCCTGCTTCTCTCTACTCCTCCTGCTCCTCTCTCTACTCCTCCTTCTCCTCTCTAATCCTCCTGCTTCTCTCTACTCCTCCTGCTCCTGTCTACTCCTCCTGCTACTCTCTACTCCTCCTGCTCCTCTCTACTCCTCCTGCTCCTCTCTGTACTCCTCCTGCTCCTCTCTGTACTCCTCCTGCTCCTCTCTCTGCTCCTCTCTACTCCTCCTGCTCCTCTCTACTCCTCCTGCTCCTCTCTCTACTCCTCCTGCTTCTCTCTACTCCTCCTGCTCCTCTCTCTACTCCTCCTTCTCCTCTCTAATCCTCCTGCTCCTGTCTACTCCTTCTGCTCCTGTCTACTCCTCCTGCTCCTCTCTCTACTCCTCTCTGCTCTTCTCTACTCCTCCTGTCTACTCCTCCTGTTCCTCTCTACTCCTCCTGCTTCTCTCTACTCCTCCTGCTCCTGTCTACTCCTCCTGATCCTCTCTACTCCTCCTGCTCCTCTCTGTACTCCTCCTGCTCCTCTCTACTCCTCCTACTCCTCTCTCTACTCCTCCTGCTCCTCTCTACTCCTCCTACTCCTCTCTCTACTCCTCCTGCTCCTCTCTCTACTCCTCCTGCTCCTCTCTACTCCTCCTGCTCCTCTCTCTACTCCTCCTGCTCCTCTCTCTACTCCTCCTGCTCCTCTCTACTCCTCCTACTCCTCTCTCTACTCCTCCTGCTCCTCTCTACTCCTCCTGCTCCTCTCTACTCCTCCTGCTCCTTTCTCTACTCCTCCTGCTCCTCCTTTCTCTACTCCTCCTGCTCCTCTCTCTACTCCTCCTGCTCCTCTCTCTACTCCTCCTGCTCCTTTCTCTACTCCTCCTGCTCCTCTCTACTCCTCCTGCTCCTCTCTACTCCTCCTGCTCCTCTCTCTACTCCTCCTGCTCCTCTCTCTACTCCTCCTGCTCCTCTCTACTCTTCCTTCTCCTGTCTACTCCTCCTGCTCCTGTCAACTCCTCCTGCTCCTCTCTCTACTCCTCCTGCTCCTCTCTACTCCTCCTGCTCCTCTCTCTACTCCTGCTCCTCTCTACTCCTCCTGCTCCTCTCTCTACTCCTCCTGCTCCTCTCTGTACTCCTCCTGCTCCTCTCTACTCCTCCTGCTCCTCTCTCTACTCCTCCTGCTCCTCTCTACTCCGCCAGAGAGAGACCAGAGAGAGACCAGAAATAGACCAAAGAGAGATCAGAGGGAGGCCAGAGAGAGACCAGAGAGAGACCAGAGAGAGACCAGAGAGAGACCAGAGCGAGACCAGAGAGAGACCAGAGAGAGACCAGAGAGAGACCAGAGAGAGACCAGAGAGAGAGACCAGAGATATAAGGACCAGGGGTCTAGTCCAATAATGAAAGTAGTTAAATGGATTCAAAGTCAGGTTTATTAGTATAGCACACTTCGAACACAGTTAAACTATAATAAAGTGTTAGTTATGGACAGAGTCTGTGCAGCGTGGCTCCGGGTCTGCAGGGGGCGCTGTCTCAGGCTCCTTCACACACTCTCCCAGCACCAGCCTCACCCCTGATACTCCAGACATCTCCAGCCTCTGCTCCATCTACAACCAGAGAGAGAGAGACCAGTGAGAGACCAGAGAGAGTCCAGAGAGAGACCAGTGAGAGACCAGAGAGAGAGACCAGAGAGAGACAGACTAGAGAGAGACCAGAGAGAGACCAGAGAGAGTCCAGCGAGAGACTAGTGAGAGACCAGAGAGAGAGACCAGAGAGAGACAGACCAGAGAGAGAGAGACCAGAGAGAGAGACCAGACAGAGACCAGAGAGAGACAGACCAGAGAGAGAGACCAGACAGAGACCAGACAGAAACCAGAGATAACACATTGCTAACATTCAATCAATGTTCACATGAATCCTGTTCTTTATCATTAAACTAAGTAAGTAAGTAATATTTATTTATATAGCGCCTTGTCACTGCAGACCAGAGTCTCAAAGTGGTTTACAATTGTTATTTTTGGGCATTAGTCTCTCACTCCACACAGAGATGGGAGCGGGGCCAGTACAGGAGGCACATGCCAGACCTATTGTACATGTTTTTAGTGGTAGGGGAAACCGGAGTACCCGGAGGAAACCTATGCAGACACGGGGAGAACATGCAAACTCCACTCAGGAAGGCCCTGGTCCGACCGGGATTCGAACCCAGGACCTTCTTGCTGAGAGGCGAGAGTGCTATCCACTCAGCCACCATGCCGCCCAAAACTGGACTAAAGGTCTGGGTTCACTCAGGGGCCTCTGGACCTCAGGGGCCTCTGGACCTCAGGGGCCTCTGGACTGGACCAATCAGAGCAGACTCCTTCTACTTCCTCTGAAACTGAAGTGGGAGGAGTCTGCTGTTGGAGTCAACACCAGTGGGGGAGGGTCCCGGCTCAAAAGTGGCCAAAATGACGTGCGCTGACATGCTGCAATACCACCCCGGGCCTGTGGGGGTGGACCCGGAAGTAGAATTAGCCAATGCTAACATATAGCATTGGCAGACCGCTCAAAAACGTCTTTACAGGATGGACCAAAAGTTGGCTCTTGGCCCAAAGCTCCGTTCCACATGTGTGTCAATGCTGAGGGTTTGTTTGATTTGTTTGGTCCACTCTAGTTTACTTGCTGTGAATTTTTGAAGTCTCTCGTTCAAATGAATGAAGCTGCTCCGGCTGACGCATGCACAGATGTGTTTTTTCACATTTTTGTTGTGGGCGGGACCACTCGTGGCCATTTTGGATTGCTCCAGTAGAGCACATTTTTTGGCCCATTAGTTAGAACGGCGGAGATAGGCGTGACTCTGTCCGTTAATATATACAGTCTATGGTCAACACCTGCGGAGACCGCATCTATAGCCTGGTCTGGTCTGGTCCTGGTCCTGGTCTGGTCTGGTCTGGTCTGGTCCTGGTCCTGGTCTGTTCTGGTCCTGGTCTCGTCCTGTTCTTGTCCTGGTCTGGTCCTGGTCTGGTCTGGACCTGGGTGAGCAGAGCCCGGTGGATCTTGGGGTCAGTGAGATCAGCGGATCCAGAACTTAGACGGAGCTTCACTTTGGTTCTTTTCATTTTCACCTCCGGAACATCTACACAAGTTACAGAACCGGAACAAGTTACAGAACCGGAACAAGTTACAGAACCGGAACAAGTTACAGAACCGGAACAAGTTACAGAACCGGAACAAGTTACAGAACCGGAACAAGTTACAGAACCGGAACAAGTTACAGAACCGGAACAAGTTACAGAACCGGAACAAGTTACAGAACCGGAACAAGTTACAGAACCTGAAACTTTTGTTCTGAACCTGAAACACAGACTGACCATTCCTTAAACAAAAGTACTGCTTTACACTTTACTTTCATTTCTGCAACACACTTTCTCCTTCTGCAACACACTTTCTCTTTCTGCAACACACTTTCTCTTTCTGCAACACACTTTCTCTTTCTACAACACACTTTCTCTTTCTGCAACACACTTTCTCTTTCTGCAACACACTTTCTCTTTCTGCAACACACTTTCTCTTTCTGCAACACACTTTCTCCTTCTGCAACACACTTTCTCTTTCTGCAACACACTTTCTCTTTCTGCAACACACTTTCTCTTTCTGCAACACACTTTCTCTTTCTGCAACACACATTCTCCTGCTCACTACACACTGTGTCATACATAAGACACTTTGTTATCGTTGGGAAAACACATCTATTCAAAATACAAAGCACACTGTGTGACAGAAAACACTGAGACACACACTTGAAAACACTGAGACACACACTTGAAAACACTGAGACACACACTTGAAAACACTGAGACACACACTTGAAAACACTGAGACACACACTTGAAAACACTGAGACACACACTTGAACACACTGAGACACACACTTGAAAACACTGAGATGGGCTTGTTCACACTAAAGGGCCAAAAGTGTGATTTAAATAATCAGAAGATATTTAGTGTTTTTCATGTTTCCAACACCTCCTCTGTCCTGCAGAAGTTTCTAGAACAAAACTGTTTTATACGTTAGACAAGTTTCCTACAGTGGCCCTGTTTATTTTATGTAACGGACGATGATTGGACGGAAAGTGCTTTGTGGAAGTTTGATGGTATTTTCAGACGTCCACATTTGATTCAGAGATTTTATTTTTTTACACAAAGTAGATGCAAAGTGATACTTTCATATCGTCAACCAATTAAATGTGAAAACAGACCAGATTGGTTTTTTTTCTCAAGTTTAATTTTTAGAGAAAAGAGGACCGTCCTCATCACGTCTGTTATACATTTTTCAAGGGTCATAATTTGTATTTTTTTACGATTCCTTTTTATATGAAGTGATTTCCTTCTGTTGTGTTAACCATGTAAATCTGTGGGATTTCATCTTCTGCTTTTTCAGACTGAGGACATTTCATTTTCTATGTAACTGGCGTCACAGCAGAATGGTCCAATCAGAGGCTCATTTGGTCGTTTAAAATGTTGCTAAACATTTTTATGTCAATCTTTCCTTTTGATTTTCTCCACACTATCTCTTCAATGTGTCTGTGTTTGAAATCTTTTTTCCAATCTATGAAAGTAATTTTAGCTTTTAAGTTATAACCTTTTAAAGTCCAGATGCTTCAATTGTCACTTTACTGTGAACACACTGATACAAAACGCGACACACATCAGCCAGACACAAACAGGCCTCAGTTTAGCCATTTTCAGAACTTTTTAAGTTTGAAGGAAGGAAGAGCAAGAGAGAGGAAGAGCAAGAGAGAGGAAGAGGAAGAGCAAGAGAGAGGAAGAGGAAGAGCAAGAGAGAGGAAAAGGAAAAGCAAGAGAGAGGAAGAGCAAGAGAGAGGAAGAGGATAAAAACAACACAATATTTTGATGACATTAGAGTAACTTTTGTGGATCATGTGATAAACCATGACCTCAAACCATCGCTCTACTGTATCTACAGTATTTACAGTACTGTACTGTATCACATGTACTGTAACTCTGTACTGCAGACTGTATCTACAGTATTTACAGTACTGTACTGTATCACATGTACTGTAACTCTGTACTGCAGACTGTATCTACAGTATTTACAGTACTGTACTGTATCACATGTACTGTAACTCTGTACTGCAGACTGTATCTACAGTATTTACAGTACTGTACTGTATCACATGTACTGTAACTCTGTACTGCAGACTGTATATACAGTATTTACAGTACTGTACTGTATCACATGTACTGTAACTCTGTACTGCAGACTGTATCTACAGTATTCACAGTACTACTCGGTACTGCAGACTGTATCTACAGTATTTACAGTACTGTACTGTATCACATGTA